CGAGTCCTGTACCTGGTGGCTTAGACTCATGCTGGGCGCGTGTGCGTACAAAGATCCCGAGAGGAGAATGGAAGAGAAGGGATTATGGCGTGGCCATCCCCCCTGGGGGGTGATTTCTCGCTTTCTGTCTCTTCTTGGTGAGCGTGTGCACCTTATAGCAGAAACCTCTCCAAAAAGAAAAGCAAAGTGGAGTGGCCTAGGCAGGAGGACAGGCAGGTGACAACACGCTGGGGCCCTCCCAGGACCTTGCATGGAAGAGGAGCATGCCCTGCCACACCAGGTGTATGTCGGGCTCTGTGACGTGTTCAGAGGCAAGCCCAGAGGGCCGGCCCAGCTCTGGAACTCACGAGTGTGTGGTGGCCAGGCTGCCCGGCTGACCCACCCACTGCCCCGCAGGTCAGGCGCTTGACCGCCTGCTACCGCGGCTCTAGATGGCCGTGAGCCTTGCTTCGCTCATCTGAGCGATGCGTGCAGACACTGGGCTGGTGAGTCCCCACACGCTGGCCTTGGGCGAGGGTGGGAAGCCTAGGGACTCACCGCACAGACGTCCTGCAGGCCCGTGTAGACACTCCTTTCCAGTCTGCCGCGCTTCCTCACGGGCTCCTCGCTGCTCCCCCGCAGCTCGGCACACAGGAGACTCAGGCTGGCCCGCACTGCCCTGGGCACAGGGGTGCAGTGGGTGCCGTGCCGCAGTGGGACATGTGCCCCTTTGAGGGGCAGACGGGGCTGCTGGGAGGTGGGTGGTACTGGCTCCCTGGACAGCCCCTGCTGCCGACCACCGGCTCGAGCTGTCCGGGTGCCCCGTCTGCTGGGTCCCCGGCCATGCTGGAGTGGGGCATCCCCGTGCACCCACCCACTCTGCCCTGCAGAGCAGCACATGGTGACCCAGGGCCAGGCCTGGGGCTGGGTGGCTGGTGAGGGCCCTGCTCCCTGGCAGGCAGCCCAGCATGGCTGAGGCCGTGGAAAGCAGCCCATCTGTGCCTCTGTGAGGTCGAGCAGGGCCGGCCTGGGCCTCGCTGAGGACACGTGGCAAGGACAGCTGGATGCCCAAGAGTAGGCCCCCAGACCAACGCCACCAGGGAGAGGACCGCAGTGGGGTGGCCACGGCATTCAGGCACGCCCTCCCAGGCCCTCAGCGCAGGTCTTAGGACTCAGGGGAGGGAGCCCTGTCCCCACGTCCCCCATGTCGCCCACACCCCCACGGCTCGCATTGCTGAGGCCGAGCCCCAGATGCAGTCTCCCTGAGCTGAAGCCCCAGCCCGTCCGCCCTGGCCCGCAGCCCAGCTGTTCCAGACACCCTGACAGAGGCAGGCAGGGGCTCACTGCCGCCTACATGGCGAGGCGGGTGGCTAGGTGGGCTGGGCACTCTGCCTCCCCCCACAGGGGGCAGAGGGAGGCATGGCTCCGGGCCTCCCTCTGTGCCTCTGTGAGGTCGAGCAGGGCCGGCCTGGGCCTCGCTGAGGACACGTGGCAAGGACAGCTGGATGCCCAAGAGTAGGCCCCCAGACCAACGCCACCAGGGAGAGGACCGCAGTGGGGTGGCCACGGCATTCAGGCACGCCCTCCCAGGCCCTCAGCGCAGGTCTTAGGACTCAGGGGAGGGAGCCCTGTCCCCACGTCCCCCATGTCGCCCACACCCCCACGGCTCGCATTGCTGAGGCCGAGCCCCAGATGCAGTCTCCCTGAGCTGAAGCCCCAGCCCGTCCGCCCTGGCCCGCAGCCCAGCTGTTCCAGACACCCTGACAGAGGCAGGCAGGGGCTCACTGCCGCCTACATGGCGAGGCGGGTGGCTAGGTGGGCTGGGCACTCTGCCTCCCCCCACAGGGTGCAGAGGGAGCCATGGCTCAGGCCTGCCTCTCCTCCAGGGGCTGGTCGTCCCTCTCCCTCTTCCTGCCCAGAGTGGAGGCCAGGCAGGAAGTCCTGCAGGGTCCTGCAGCCATGCTGGCCCCAAGCCCCAGCCCGCCCACTTCCCATCCCCTGGGCTCAGCCATCACTGAGGGGGCCCCACCGCCTGGTCAGAGAGAGGGATGGGGAGGGAGGCCGAAGTGCGTTCCTGGAAGGGAGGACGCTGGGCTCTAGTCCTTTCCTGCCCTGAGGCTGCTGCACCCAGTCAGGCCTGGGCACCAGCCAGGGGAGATGGTGGTTAAATGCAGGCCCAAGGCTGGGCTCCCAGGGGGGTGGGGTCCGGAGGGATGGTGCCAGCTGCAGGTGGCACCCCCAGGGCTCCCTGACGAGGCTCGGCCAGACCCGGCCTCCCCGGCCCTGTGCTGCCCAGTGGCCTCCATGGAGCTGGCTGGTTCTCAAAGGACACCCCCACTCCCACTGGGTGCCACCTGGGCACCAAGGGACAGCTCAGGGAGGCCCCGGCCATATGGTGAAGCCCCTCCGTTGCCCACGAGCTCCCCTCCCTGTAACCTCCGCATTTGCTAATGTTTTGTGACAGGAAGCCCTGAGATTAATTTTTGCCTCGGTCTTAATTGAAGGAACCATTTAGTGCCGATTTAACTATTATTGCCATCATCGGGGTTGATGCAGTACGCACACGCACGCGCCAGCCGCGTCTGCAGGAGCTTGGAGGATTTATGCAAATGGGCCTGCCGGGAGAGGCAATTTGTAGCCGAGAAGGACAATTATACCAGGCCCGGGAGTGCACCAACGACCGTGCCGGCGGGGAAGGGGTAATAACCTCACGCGGCGGCCGCGAGCACCACCGTGGCGTGACCGAAGGCCTCGCAGTGCAGATAAAGAGGATCTCCAGCAACGCCGCCTGTCCGCGGGTGCCCACGGGGGCGGGGGTGTGTGAGGTCAGGGCCAGGTGGGCAGAGCTGGTGGCTGAGTTCCAGGGCCCAGAGCAGAGCCCAGGACTGAGCGCCAGGCAAAGGGGGGTGCCCCCAAGTCGCCAGTGCCTGTCCAGGCAGGGCTCTGGCTCTGGGGACTTGTAGGCCCTCGAGTTCTGGGAGCGGATGTGCCGGGCCTCAGACCCCGGGAACGGGGCGGAGGGGGGAGCAGGCTATGCGCCCCACCATGCCCTACGGCCCCGCACACTGCACTCACTTGACTTTTCTGCTGTCACTCCTGGCGAGCTGGGCCCCGGGACGCAGGCCGGGCAGTGAGCTGGAGTGCTTGCGCTTCCTGGGCCGGCCTGGCCCCCGCCGTGCTGGGCTCCGGGAGCTCTCATCCCTCCTGGGGGTGGGGATGTCAGAGGTCAACATGCCCGGCTCCCTGATGGGCTCAGTGGAGAGCACTGCCCTGGGGTGAGTGCTGGGAGTGGGGCCGGGCACTCCCAAGACTTGGCCTAGGAGCACTGGCCCTGGAGGCAGCAGGGAGGCAGGTCCACTGAGTGCCTCACCCTCAAGTCTCCTTGAGCCTCTGGCTCGGGAAGCTGCCCAGACCCCGGCTCCCCACCTACCTGCAGGCAGCGAGCAGGGCCCAGGCCTGGCTCCTATCATACCCAGCCCAGCACCAGAGCCACGGGAGCCTTGTGGGGAGGGCCCAGCCCCCGCCATCCCCCGCCCCAGGTGGCATACTCGCGGTCGTGCCTGCGCTGCAGGCGGCCCAGCTCCCGCTGCTTCTCCTTGTAGCGCCGCTGCAAGTCCGCCAGCTGCACACGCATCTGCACCTCCTGCGTGTCCAGACGGTCGATGGCTGCTTTCAGCGGGCACACCTGGTGGGCAGGCACAGGGCCGTGAACGGGCAGGTGGCAGTCTGGGTGCCGGGGGCCAGGCAACATGGGTGAGGGACCGCACTCACGGGCTTGGCCTTGGGGGCCCAGGTGCCCTTGCGCTGCAGGATCTGCATGCGGGGTGTGAGTGTGGGGCTGTTGCAGGCGGCGGCAGCAGGCCGCTGGGCGGAGACGGAGTCACTGTCCAGGCCAGCAGCCTCCACCAGCGACCAGGCTGTGGCCAGCGTGGCCAGGCGCTGCAGGTTGAAAGCCAGCACGTCCTCCTCCTCTGCTGGGAGACGGGGGTGGGGGAGAGGGAGGCGGAGGGGGACCTCAGCATGGACTCCGTTCAGGGGGCGGGCTTGCCCTGCCCTGCCCTCACGGGGGCGGTGGACGCCAGCCTCGATCTGAACCCAGCTGTGGTCTCCTGTGGCTGCCCAGCTCACAGGACATGAGTCCCAAGGACAAGGGTCAGGCCATGGCAATGGTGAGAGGAGCCCCAGGGCTGGTGCCCAGCACACCCACTCAGCTCCAGGCTGGGAAGGCCCCTGGCTGGAAGCCCTGGCAGGACCCTCTACAGAGGAAGGCAGGGCTCTCGTCACCCAAGTGCAGCAAGTGGCCTCTAATGCAACCGGCCCGTGCCTCTGCACCCGTTTGAATGCAGCCCTGCCTGACATGTGCTCTGGGCAGCCAGGGTCTGTCCCTGGACCAAGGCCACCCAGGCTCTAGCATGAGCTGGCCCGGAGTTGCATGGGTGCTTGGGATTGCGGCGTGCACCCAAGCGACTGGCTGGCTGGCCCCGGGCTGCCTCGCTGCCTGCAGCCAGGCCCACCCACTTGCCCTTCCTCCGCCTGTACACAGCTGACATCCAGCAAAGGCTGCAGAGCACACAGGACTCCTCGTGGGGAGGCGGCCAGGCAGTCTTCTGAGCCACAAGGCTGGTCCTGGCTGGAGTGCAACCCCCACCCCACCCCCTCAGAGGTTGCCTTTGTCCCTCCCTCCTCCCCCAGGAGCCAGGCCAGCTCTCAGCCCTGCTGAGGCACTGGGGCGCCCAGGCTGGGCAGGGGAGCGGCCCTCACAGCGACCAGCGGCACCGAGACCGGGAGGGCTGGCACGTGTCCAGCCTGGTGGGGAGGGTGGCCTGGACTGCATCAGAGCTCAGGTGGGCAGAGGGCGGTGCCCACCAGGGAGAGGCCTGAGCGGGGGAGCCAGGCAGGGAGTTAGGCGGGGGTGGGGAGGCCTGATCTGATCTGCAGGGGGCCATGGGGCGGGGACTCAGTGTTGGGAGCAGCTACAGCCAGGAAGGGCAGGGACCCAGCAGGACCACTGGCGGGCAGGTGGTGACGATGGTGCCACCCAACAGGCCCCCCAGCCATGAGCACCCCACACTGATCATGGCTTCAAATACGACTTTCTTCCTCAAGGACCAGGGTCCCCCTGAGAGAAGGCAGATTCCGGCCCGGAACAGGAAGTGTTGGAGTGGCTCCCACAGGCCCGTCGGGGACAACGGGGACAACATGCTCACAACAGACTGCTTGGCAGAGGAAGGGGTGAAGGAAGGAGAGGATGCCCCCTGTGCCCACCTCAGACCACAGCCCCGACCAGAGTCCAACCTGGCAGGCCGAGAAGGCCGCGGGGCAGACGCCGGTGCCCAAACCTCTGGCAAAGTTCTAGGCAAGGCCACCTCCCTCCCTCTCTATGGGAGACCTCAGCCTGGGCCCCAGGTCCCCGGACACGGGAAGGGTCAGGTGGGACAGGGCTTCCTGCCACAGTGGGAGCAGCCTGAGCAGTGCAGCACCAGTCCCCGGGGCTGTTGCTCCTCCCGCTCCCGCTCTGATGTCCCTGCCTGGGCTTGCCAAGCTCAGGGGGCAAGGGGGGGGCAGGTCCCTTCCTTGGGGCTTTGTGCCCCTGACCCTCAGGACTTCCTTCTCCCACAGCCTCTGCACAACTCCGGTGGTCTCAGTCCAGGACCTGCCATGACTGGGCGGAGCAGGGGGAGGGGGCCCGGGGGACACCAGCTCCTGTTCCCCAACAGCAGCCTTGACCCAGAACACACGCCCCTGTGTGCAGGGCACCCCCAGGCGACTGGCCGCCCAGCCACGGTCACGGCTGGGGTGGCCCCTGCCGCCCCCC